CAGTGAAGAGAAAACTTGGGATAGACAAAAATCAGATGTATGCACTAAGGGACAAAGAAGACAAAATAACTGCCAATATGGACAGGATAGCTAAAATAGCGGAGGAGTTTTACAGAGTTTACAACCACGACCCTAATACTATAAGAACTAGCAGTAACCCAGATGGCACCCCACTACTACATTAGCCGGGACAACCACGACCCTAATACTATAAGAACTAGCAGTAACCCAGATGGCACCCCACTAGTAATCAGAGAAGAAGTCTGAAAAGCTTTGGAGAGCATGCAAAGAGGCAAAGCTGCTGGTGACGATCAGGTGACATCAGATCTGCTGAAAGATAGAGGACAGATTGTGTTAGAAAAACTAGCCACCCTGTTTACGAGGTGTCTCCTGGCGGGAAGAGTACCAGAGTCTTGGAAGAATGCTTGCATCATCTTAATACATAAGAAAGGAGATGACAAGGACTTGAAAAATTACAGGCCAATCAGCTTGCTCTCTGTAGTATACAAGCTATTTACAAAGGTAATTGCTAACAGAGTAAAGAAAACATTAGAATTCAATCAACCAAAGGAACAAGCAGGATTTCGAACAGACTCCCCAACAATCGACCACATTCATACTATCAATCAGGTAATAGAGAAATGCTCAGAATATAACCAACCACTCTACATAGCCTTCATAGAGTACGAGAAGGCGTTTGATTCAGTAGAAATATCAGCCGTCCAGCAGACACTGCGGAATCAGGGCGTCGGTGAAGTATATATAAACATCCTGGAAGAAATCTACAGGGGATCAACTGCTACCATAGTGCTTCATAAAGAAAGCAACAGAATACCAATCAAGAAGGGTGTAAGGCAGGGGGACACAATCTCCCCAATGCGGTTTTCCGCAGCCTAGTATTGGAACATTTAGGGATAAGCATTAATGGAGAGTACCTTAGTAACCTGCACTTTGCCGATGACATCGCATTGCTGAGTAACTCAGGGGACGAATTACAACTCATGATTACAGAGTTAGGCAAGAAGAGCAAAAAGGAGGGTCTTAAAGTTAATCTGCAGAAAACGAAAGTAATGTACAACAACCTCCGAAGAGAGCAGCGCTTCCAGATACGCAATAGTGCACTTCAAGTTGTAAAAGACTATGTCTACTCAGGGCAGGTAATAACCGCGGAGCCGAACCACGAGATTGAAGGAACTAGAAGAATGAGAATGGATTGGAGCACATTTGGCAAGCACTCTCAAATTATGACAGGTAGATTGCCGCTATCCCTCAAGAGGAAGGCATATATAACAGCTGTATCTTGCCGGTACTTAGCTACGGACCAGAAACCTGGAGACTTACAAAGAGGGTTCAGCTTAAATTGAGGACGACGCAGCGAGCAATGGAAAGAAAAATGGTAGGTGTAACCTTAAGAGAGAAGAAGAGAGCAGAGTGGATAAAGGAACAGATGGGGTTTGAAGATGTCATAGTTGAAAGCAAGAAGAAGAAATGGACATGGGCTGGGCATGTAGTGCGCAGACAGGATAACCGCTGGTCATTGAGGGTGACTAACTGGATTCCCAGAGAAGGCAAGCAGGTTAGGGGAGACTGAAGGTTAGGTGGGCAGATGAGATTAATAAGTTTGCATGTATAAATTGGCAGCAAAAAGCACAAGACCGGGTTAACTGGCATAACATGGGAGAAGCCTTTGTCCTGCAGTAAACGTAGTCAGGCTGATGATGATGATGTAGGTTGAAGAAATTTCACCATTTCTTCCCTGTTCTCGTGCCAAATATTGCGATCGAATGTTTTTGAGGATGTGACTTTGATCGAACGCCAGAAACAAACTGCGGCTTGGGTCGGCGGGATGAGGCACTTGGGTTTTCAGTTGCCCACCTGATAATATTTTCATTGCAGCGACATTAATTTTGTGGTTGTCAGTCACAACTCAAACTATCTTGAATCCCATTTCTTCAGTTTTCTTGATAATGTGCTTGGTCGTTTCCACAAGTAGTTCGCCAGTGCATGATCTGGTGAAGAGTATCTCACTGGGATCCGAAACCTAGCGTGAAGGCCACAGATCAAAAAGCATAAAAGCAAGTTCGCAAGTTCGCTTCTTTCAGAGTCTGACAACACTTGATTGAGAGCGCCCAAGAAGGCATCTTGTTCGTGGTATTCAAGCCTTTGCTTTATTCTCATTTCGTCTTTGATGAGGCTCCAAATTTTGGCTTGCTCCATCCCGAGGCACTTGATTTTAGTGTTCAGCCTCTGCTTCACTAGCTCACTGAAGTCTACTTCTCCGGCAGTTGTTCTCACGTATCTTTGTAGTGTAGTTCTGCACGGAAGTGCGATGAGCTCAGTTTTGATATACTCATGTGACTTTCAACAGAATCAAAAGTTGGGCTAGTTGGATATGCATGGTATAACTGTCAGTTCAAGCGCACGAATAAACAGAAAGGAAAAGAGGACAAGTGCATTCTCGCAACTAAACTGTTTATTAGAAAGGGAAGCACTTGTCCTCTCTTTCTTTCTGTTTATTCGTGCACTTGAACTGACAGTTATATTATGGGACTTTGTTGAGAGGCTTCTCAGAATCACGCACTGTCGTATAGTGGTTTCACACCACTTTAGTTTTTTCACCTTGTAGTTTAGGACTTCGTCCGTTATCACTCTGCCTTTAGTGCAACCCTGATCGCAGTCTCTGGCTACTTGAAGAAATTTGCTTACGTTGCGCTCTTCCTTTATTCTATGCAGCTCTTTTTCGTAGGCATCTACTGTTGCCTGCAGCATTTCATTGCTTCCATGCCCTTTCTTTGTCGCGTCATTTTTTCTGCTCCATAAGGCTGTTGTGGAACTTCTGCTGCCAGCTTGAACACCAAAGGTCCTCAAGGAATGCGCACCTGCATCTTCCTCTGCTGGCTTCACATCAGTTGGCTCAAGAAAGTTTGCGGAATGACAGTAGTGACTAGCTGCTGCTACAAAAGGCAAGTTGTCGCTTGGGCTACTGGGCTCAGTGGCTTTGTCAAGCGTGTTTGCACGAACTTCTAGCGCCGGTGCAAGGCGCGAATTGATTTCCTGACTTGGCAGACTTACCAACATGTCCGTTGAGGAATTTCACTTTCTTTTCTGAGTGCTGCTGCAGGTTCTCACCTTTAGTGGTTCCTTCCTTATATAGGATGGATAATGCGGAAAGACACTCGGTACCGCATCGGGCTTTGCACATGCGTCTTTTGGTATTTTCCCTAAAGTCAGTTTCCACAAAATGTAGGGCGGACACGGCCGAGTAATTCGAAATGGAATTCGGCACCCAGTTCTTCTGCGTGATAACTCGTAGCCATTGTTCACGTAGCGAACACTGAGTGTTCGCTAGAAATTCGTGAAAGGACACACTTGCTTCTTTCTTTCGCTGGCTATAACTGCAGAACAAAACGCAATAGCAGCGCATGGTGACCGATGAATAAGCAGGATGACATCACCGCTGAAGCAAACAGACGGTCCTACAACTGCCACTGCGACCAAACAACGGGTTAAACTTGTCATCTGCAAGGTGACTGGGACGCGAATTATCACTCCGTTAAGAGGCATATTGACAGTTTATTTCACCTTTATTATTTATTACGCGTGAACACTGCTTCTTTTAGTGTGATGGCAACGACTCCGAGCAAGGTTCGCCATTACTCTAAGCAGACGACAAAAAAAGCGCAGAAAACCGGCGCACGAGCGGCAGCGAGCGGCGTCTGCTAGAGGGTAATAACCCAGAGCCGTCAAGCGGCATCGAGGGGCAGAATTGAGATAGTAAAAGGAGAGGGCATGACAGGCGCGGCGGCGTTCACGCGGCAGGCACAAAAAAATATAGGATGCGCTGGACTCATCGACTTGGCTCCCACAGCCACCACAAGTGAAAATGGCTACTGGGTTGGCTTGTTTCGAGGTCTTGCCATGGTTGTGAGACTACCTTTGGCCTGAATGAGTCGATGCTGTGCTTAGAGTTTGTGCCATTTAACGGTAGGTGACCAACAAGCATTGTTTCGATTATCCGATGAATTTTACTGCACAACATAAAAATCCAGCCATATGAGCCCATTTAGTTTTGTTAATGAGGCATTTTCATTTAAGCGAGTTTCGTTTATTGAGAGTCCACTGTACTTCAGAACTACCCAACATATTGTATGCCACGTTTTGAGCGCGTAGACGTCAAATAAATTAAATTGTGGAAGATAGAACTTGCTTCAACCTGGCAAGAAAGAACGGAGATGTAAGTTGTACGCGCTCCGTGTTCTCTGCCATTAGCTACAAAATGATTGGTTCTAGCATAAAATGCATTACACGAAATAGTGCTAGATTTTATAGGTCCTCTTGAGTACCTGACAGCCTTAATGTGGGCACACATTCCGTGACTCGCTTGCTCGAAATTTTTTGGTATGTCAAGAATTTCCAACACTACGCAGTAAATGGTTAAAAATCAGTATTTCCATTATTTCAATGATGTCACACATCTAACCACACACACTCTTCATTGAACTTACATTACAGCGTCCCTGCATTACTCTTGATGCTTTATGTCAAACCACTTTACACAATGCTTTCCACATCAGGTAAGTTGCTGAGCTCTGATGTTTTTGGGTCCCTGGTTCGGTTCTGCATAATCGTTTGCCGTTATCAGCATTGTTCATTTCGTACCTGTCTGCTACATTGAAGTATGTTGTTTACTTCTGCTGTAGACCCTCGTGATGCCTGTATGATTGGGCGTGTTGGTACAGCATGGTTATAAGCGCAAATTAGTTGAACTGACAGCATGGGACAAAGGGTCAGTCTCCATTTTTCTGTCCTTTCCTGTCGGCCGTGCTGATTTGCACTTATATCCAAATGGTGGCTACTATATGATTTTGCACTCACTTGCTATACATTTTAGTCTCAATTTGCAGCTGATATTAACAACTTGGTACCTATGTGCTCCTTCCAGTGTGTCAAATTGTGTTCCACTTTTTTAGCCTTCTATTTCGATGTGCATTCTGCTGCAGGAAGTGATGGTGCTTTTAGATTTGTTGGGCGCACCTGAGCCACGATTCTACAGCTACTTTGTTGACACCAGGCCTGTATATGACCGGCTCGTGGATATCGGTAAGTTGTGCGCAGCACATTTATTTGCCGTGCATAATGACAAATGCGAGCAAGTACGTATATCACCCAAAATTGTTAAAAATAAAGCACCCATAAGGTGTCTTTTGTTTATGCAAGATTCTTTGAAAACACTCATTATTATCGAGAGAACATCATAATGAAACGTCAAGAGTTTGCTTATGCAATGCTAAATAAAAATTTTTAGGGTGGGAATATACCTTCATATGGGGGGAAAGCATGATGCAGAATGAACAGGAACATTGCACATAGAGGAGGCAGTCATCGAGCAGAAACTTTTAAGGACCTCTAGAAAAAGGTTGCGCAGGTGAAAGTGGCACTTGGCCTGGTACACTTAAAAGTCACCGTGGAAGGCCTTCAGGACACGCACATTGCTGTCTTTTATTTCAACAGTGTCCCTTACAAAGGTTGTCTCATAAGTCAATGCCTCGCATTGCAGTAGTATGGTCAATGTGTATTGCATCACCATGCGAGTGAGCAAATATGGACAATGGTTCATCCTGGTCACTATCTTCCTTGCTGTGGTAATAGTTGTTAACATTATCCGGTAAATAAAACTGCAAATCGAGTGTTTCAACTGTTGAATGCATTTGTTTTAGAAAATAGGAAAATGGCATCTTGTCCACTAGAATCGTAGGAAAGTATATTCCCACTCTACAGTTACAATTGAAATGTCTACAGTGAAATATCGATACAACGAATCTCAAGAGACAACTGAAAATCATTCGTTATTTTGAAAAGTCGTTGTAATGAAAAGTATTAAAAATTCACTAATGTAAACGTGTAGTAGCCTAGAATGAGCTTTTTCAACCATAGAGTACATCCATGCTCTTCTTCAGCATTTCACGGTGTCATTCTTTCTTGGTGCATTTTGACATAGAACCTTTGAATACAAGTTTTTAGTGGTTACGAACCAGTAAAGATGTTTTTCTTGAAAGAGATGACATTTCATTGTCTACGTTGGAACCGTAGATGTAAACAACCAAAAGTATGCTAACCTGTTTAATCACTACTTCTGCTCTGTCTTCATGGAAGGTGACGGCACCATACCACAAACAGGTTGCTCTAATTAAAGCCTCTAGTCCAGCTTTCAATAATCAAAGGAAGCATACTTAACTTGCTGCTCAAACTAGACATTAGAAAAATTGTCAGGACCTCACAGTACATCAAATGGATCCCTTTGCAGGTATGATGGGTGGATGGCCAAGTATCTAATAATCATTTTTAACAAATCATTGTCCTCGGGGACCCTCTCTAATGACTGTAAAACGGTTAAAGTGAAATCTATTCATAAATCAGGAAGTTTAACTGGACCCATCTCACTGACATGCACAGCCTGGAAATTGTTGGAACACATCATCTTAAAGCACATAACCAAACACCTTGAAAAAGAAGAAATGCTTACACCTTGTCAACGTGGATTTCGAAAAGGTGTCTGCACAATCAAACAACTATGCTCAGTGACAACTTTCTGTGGTAGCAGAGCCAAGGCTATGAAGTCCAAGCACACCCTTTCTCACTACGCATCTGCTTGTAGTCCATGAACGCTTACTTTAGTATGCTACATAGCATTTATTTATTTATTTATTTATCATAGTACCCACAGTGCCCAATGGCATTACAGTAGGGCGGAAAGAATAAAAAATTTCAGCAATAAATACACATGCTCACACTTCTGCAGCACAATAATAATGCAATTCATTGTCAACTATACGTAGCGGCACGTGGGAGTAGACAATACAAAGCAGCTTCACTGTACCGTTTCATCCCTACACATCCTCCCGAGTGCACTACTCTAGACCCTGAAGTAATCTTGAAAATACTTCATGTTAAGTAACCTCTGCTACTTCAGAAGGCAACCTATTCCACCGTGCTATCGTTCTGGGAAAAAAATTACATTTTAAATGCATCAGTGCGGCAGCTTATTTCACTTATCTTATTGGTATGATCTAGTCGCTGTGAAACGTAGTCTGGTTTGCAAAAGTATCTTGAGGGATCCAGAACTATGAAATATGTTGTGAAAAAGTTTCAACCTCGGATATTTCCTTCCCTTATAATCTAAGAGAGATCGAATGTTAGTCATATATAGTTGATTCTTGATCTCAAGTGGTAACTTACTTGCGTTTTTGTGCAGGAAACCTAACACACGTCCTGCTTTACTTGTGACATGATGTGACAGCTCCAAGAATGGTCCGGTGTAAAATATACACCGAGATACTTGTGTTCACGAATTGTTAGCAGCCTGTTTGAATTTACAGTGTAAAATAAGTCATATTGTGTCTTTTTCTTAGTGAAACACATATGCACTGTTTTTCTTGCATTAATGAACATTTGCCACTTTCCACACCATTCAGAAACTGTGTCAAGATCGTTTTGAAGAGTAGTGCAATGATGGGAGCTATGTATAAGCCTGTACAAAACACAGTCGTCGGCATAATAGAAAATATAAAAAAGAAAGGATGTAAATATTATGTTCAACATTGTTTGAATTATTATTATGAAGCATCAGCTGTGTTGGTTTTTGTTCTTTGCTGTTTCTAGTTTTCTTGCTTTCTGGTGCCATTTCACTTTATTCCGCCCCGGTAAACAATGATGGCGTCACTCGGTTGCAGCAAGTTCACATCGAAGCTTGTGAGCGAGCATGAGTGCGTGTTCGTTAGGTGATCTGTAGTCATTGAGCAAAGAGAAACGAAGACAGCGGTGCGTCTTCAAATATTTTGTTTCCAGCACACGCAATCTCCGAGAATTTGTGTGCAAGTGAATGATTTCATCAGTGAAAGTGTGACTATAATCCCTATAGCTGCCTTAAAACTGACACCAGCGACCTGCCAGTTTTCAGCAATACCAGCTGCTTGGAAGAAAAAGGGCAATTGAAGCTCTACGTAAAACCAATGACCCTATTCCTAAATTGCGTTGCATACGTGGTCGGTGTTTCAGCTGGCTAATAGTGCTGATACTGTTACGGGGAGAAGGCGTCGGAAAAATACCTTTACTTTAGATAAACAGGCAGGCATACAATATGGAGCCCCGCCGCTGTGGTCTAGTGGCTAAGGTACTCGGCTGCTGACCCGCAGGTCGCGGGTTCGAATCCCGGCTGCGGCGGCTGCATTTTCGATGAAGGCGGAAATGTTGTGGGCTCGTGTGCTAAGATTTGGGTGCACGTTAAAGAACCCAGGTGGTCGAAATTTCCGGAGCCCTCCACTACGGCGTCTCTCATAATCACATGGTGGTTTTGGGTCGTTAAACCCCACATATCAATCAAGGCATACAATATGGAGCCCAGTCTGCTTGAGCTCACGCTAAACATCGACCTCTTTTCTATTATGGTCATCTGTAGTGCCCCGTAGCATCACCATCGACGGCGAAAGCACCGTCTCGGTGCTTGGTTGATCCAAATAATATCGCTTTAGCCAAGTGACGTGAACGTCGCAACACGATCACCCGCTGGTGGTGTTAAGAGGTTCAATTTCATATGTCCGTACAGGAGCAAAAAATGTTGAGAGACCTGCAGTATCATGCCAAGACGTATTATAGGCAAATGTCACAATTGGGAGGGTGGAGTCCTAGTCACAATGGTCGGAAGAAATGTACATGGCGAGCATGTCTGTGATGGTTCTATTTAGCCGCTCTGTGAGCCCGTTGGTTTGAGGGTGATACGCCATTGTGAACTAGTGATTTGTAGTGCAAGAGTATAATATGTCTTGGATAACTTGTGATAAAAAATAGCTACCCCAATCGGTAAGCAGTTACCGAGAAGCGCCGTGATGTAGTATGACGTCTTCTAGGAGAAAGTTAGCGATGTTGGTCGCACAACTGGTAGGGAGGGCCCGCGTGATGGCATACCGAGTGGTGTAATCTGTCGTGACTGCTATCCACTTGTTTCCGCTGGCTGATAAGGAAAACGGTCCTAGTAAGTCAAGACCTACCCTGTAAAATGGTTCGGATGGGATCTGAATGGGTTGAAGGCATCTCGCTGGAATGGTTGTTTTTTTTTTTGCGATGTTGACAGGATTTGCATGAGCCGACGTAATGGCAGATTGATCGGTAAATACCAGGCCAAAAGAAGCGATATCTAACGCAGTCATAAGTTCTTAAAACTCCAAGGTGACCAGCTGTCAGAATATCATGCAACTATGCAAAGACAGTCTGACGCATATGTTGTGGTAGGACCAACAGCAGCTCAGGTTTGTCAAGATGCATGCTGTAGCGATATAGTACACCATCTTGGAGCAGGAGCATACGAAAATATGGAGAAGTTGTCAGACCACTGAGCCGAAGAATCATATCTCTGAGGTGAGGATCTGCTGGTCTCCGATGTTGCTGAACACTGAAAGTGCCAAAACGCAAGTAGACTCATCGCTCTCAGAAAGGTCTGTTGGGTCTACTTGATAATGGGACAAGCAATCAGCATTCTCATGGTGGCGGCCTGATTTGTAGACAACCGTGTATAAATATTCCTGTAGCCGTAGAGCCCACCGGCCGAGATGTCCTCTAGGATCTTTTAAGGAAGACAGCCAGCATAGTGTGACAATCGTGAACGGGCGTCCTTACAAATATCGCCGAAATTCAGCCACTGCCCAGACGAGCGCAGGGCATTCGCGTTCCGTGATAGAGTAATTTTGTTCTGTTGGTGATAAAAGATAGCTAGTGTATGCAATAATGCGCTTGCAGCCATGCTGTCGTTGTGCCAAAACAGCTCCGATTCCGTGGCTGCTGGCGTTGGTACACACTTTCGTTGGAGCGCATAATCAAAGTGGCCAAAAATCAATGGCGTCGTAAGTCTGGTCGTCAGTTCAACCAATGCTCTGGCTTGTTCAGGTCCTCACACAAAAGTCACATTTTTTTTAGTAGTTCCGTGAGGGGGCGTGCGACGTCAGCGAAATCCTGCACAAATCTACAAAAGTAAGAACCAAGGCTCACAAAGCTGCGAACGTCATTCGCAGAGGTCGGCAGAGGAAAATTCTTGATGGCGTGGACTTTCT